TTGTTTTTGAAAAATTTAAAATTGGTTGAAAATTTTTGGACATTACACCAAGATTACTATCATACAATTATATTAATTAATAATGATTTAATTTTTCTTAATTTCTAATTGGTGCATTTTGGCACACAATATTTGTTGAAAACATTTGAACCGATATATATATATATATATATATATATATATATAGTGTTAGAACAACTTCTATGACAAAGCCCTTGAATGCAGCTCCAATGGGTTCGCCGGTGGTTGAACAGATCAGAAGGAAGGGAGATCTAATCTCCGACAGGCTTCCCTTGGTTCATTATCTACGTCTCCGTTAGCCACCAATCGTGAAAAGGAAAGGAACGGAGGCAACGGTGCTGCCGTCAAGTGGCAACGAAGGCTGCTCCTTCTATCTGACAACAATCACGCAGGGGGGGGAGACTTCGGTCCTCTTTGATCGGAGAAGAAAGAAACACAAAAATAGTCAGAAAATGGCCGGTGAATCATAATCGGTCGCAAGGAAGGGCTGCAATCGGTAGTGGGAAGTCGCTGATTTTCTTCTCTTTAGTGGTGATGTTTCAGGCATGAAACGAAGGTGAATGCTGCCGGAAATTGTGATGAACTGGTTATGGGTTTCAGCAAAAGGGGTCGATGATATATAGGGTTTTAAAACTGATTTTACTAAATTAAAGGGATATTAAAAGGTTTAAATATTTAGTATAATTATAGATAACCAAGATTACTATCATACCCTTATATTAATTAATAATGATTTAATTTTTCTTAATTTCTAATTGGTGCATTTAGGCACACAATATTTTTTGGAAACATTTGAATATATATATATATATATATATATATATATATATATATATATATATATATATATATATATATATATATATATATATAGGAGTAGGATCAAATGAGAACACCTAAAAGGTTGAGAACGCGAGAACACTTCTAGACCATTTAAAAAACTAAATCTAAGGCTATTATTGAATGGGCCATTTATGTAAATTTTTAAAATTAAAAGAATTAAAGTGTAACTTTAAAATTGGGATAAGGGTATAACAGTAATTAGCACTTTAGATAACTCCTAAAATTCCTCAACTCTCGTCTATTTCCTTTCATATTCTCGTCTCTTTCTTTCTCCCTTGGATTCCTAGGGCTTCAACAATAGTTCCGCCTGCATCGTCCATACACCACCCGATTCTATTCATCATCGCATCTCATGTTGCAGCCACCATCATTATCTTCAATCCTCGTTCGTGTCTTTGCCCTTCTTTCTCATTAACTTAAGTCGACATCCTCTTCAATCGATTCGTTTCTTAGCCCTTCTTCTCATCAACTTCAGTCGGCATCCATTTCAATCGACATCTTCAATCTACGTAGTCTGCAATAGTCACCGCCACTCGCTGCCGACGGATCTTCAAACGACACTAAAACACCGCCAACCGATCTTCTGTCACCATCGCTAATTGCCGCCTTCTGATCTTCAATCGATTTCGGATCCACCATCAACCTACAGGTATAGTAGTTATTTCTTTATTCATTTTTTTTTGAACCTCATAACTTCATTAAATGCCATGTGTTTGAAGAAGGTTTTTATTTGTCTTTTGGGTTGGGAAACCAGCAAAGCGACTAGCTGATTATTGGATTTTATGTTGTAATAGGACCAAAGATATTCATTTGTTCCGCAAGATTTAGGTCATTGTTTTAATGGGTTAGAGTTACTGCAGCTTCGATTGAATAAACAACGAATGATTATTGGGGTAGAGTATATATGTGATCTATTAGAAAAGGGACATATGACACATAATCATGGTAATCATCTATGAATGTATAATGTTTCATCACATATCAATTGTATGTTTAAACTATATATTGTTAGTATCATGGTTCTTATGTTTACACTATTGTTAGTATCATGTTGATGTCGCATGGTATTGGGTGACCCTAGTTGCTGAAAGTTGTGATTATTATACTAATATGTACTGTTCTTTTTCTGTTTGTCTGTGTTTTGATTTTCTGATATTTTTTTGATTATCATCAAAACAAAGATCAAAAATAAATTTGTTTTGGTTTCTTTTGATCATCTGTATGTGCAACCAAGTTCAAGCAGAGGGAGAAGGAGAGTTAAAGTGGAAACTTCTTGTGGTTTTGTGTGGGTTTGAAGTCTGAAAGCAGAAGAAAGCAAGGATATCATACATAATCAAGGTATTTGTAATTTGTGACCCATTTCTTTGTTAAAAAGAATGTTTGAATGATTTCATTACAATTATAAAGTTATAATCTTTTATGATTATAAACATGGTTGTACATCTGATTAAAAGACACTGGTAGCAATCATTTATAATTATAACTATCAACAATATAAATGATTAGAAAATCAATTATATACATGTCATTTATGATTATAACACTACATGATTTTGCTACTAATCATTCATTTTAATACTTTGTTGATATTTTTAGTGTATTTACATGTTTTTGGCATTTTGTAGGTAATTATAAAGAGAAAGGGATGCTATCACTTTTTAGATATCACTGGTTCTCGTTACACAAGCAACCAATTGATCCAAATAGAAGAATGAGATTGCAACCGATTCAAGAAAATGACCGACATATGGATGAATTTTTCATTTTTTTTTTCCATTTGGAGTGGTGTAATCATTGTTGAATATAATCATGTATAAATGTATGAAACTAGTATTGACATATTCATTTATGAATATAAGTATATAAATATATAAACCCAATCTTTGGAAATTTTATTTTTGAATATGTTTAAATTGTGTTTTATTCATTTACGATTACTACTTTATAGTTATAATTACAAATGTGTTTTACTCATTTATAAATAATAATATCTGATGAAAGATAAATTATAAAAAAATGAATTTTTTAACAAAAATCAATTAAAATTATTTTTATTATATATTAATAAAAACAAAATGAAAATCAGTTAATCTCTAATTTTAAGTAACTGTAATTAATATTGCTAAAATTTAGGAGATTAAGATTTGTTATATTTTGAATTAAATACGCAATTACTAATATACCCTTGTAAAATGATTGGTCTAAAAGTGTTCTCGCGTTCTCAACCTTTTAGGTGTTCTCATTTGATCATTTCCCTATATATATATATATATATATATATATATATATATATATATATATATATATATATATATATATATATATATATATATATATATATATATATATATATATATCGTCAATTGTTATCGAAACAAAATTTGAAACCACACTACCCTAGCCGAAGTTGATAACCACTCTCATGCAGTGGCGGAGCCAGGTTCAAAGTAAAGGGGTATCCCAAAAAAATTTCGGATGGCCTAATTTTTTTTCGAGGTACTTCGGTTTCAGTTTTAAACCTAAACCTTAATCGAATCCTTAGATAACCTAAAGTCATATTATATAAACATGAAGTCGAAGTATCTTTTGATACTTGAAGCGATGTGGGAATAAAAGTAGATATCAAATGAAGAATCAAGATAACAAGTTAATATAATAGACGAAATTGGCTAAATTTACATGTGTTTGGCGATGTGGGATTGATTAGCTGGGAAAATAAAAATAAAAGGTAAACAAAGAAAATGTAAGGAGGGAGATTTGATCCTTAGATCTCTACTTTAATATGCTAGCGCCTTATCTAGCAGACCACATGTTTGTTTGGGTTTATAAGTGAAGGGAAACATATATATACAGTATGTAAAACGAAATTTTGCTAAAAAGAATTACACTACCGAAAAAAAAAAATTTGAGGGGTATCCCGGGCTACCCCGGGCTCTACATTGGATCCGCCCATGCTCTCATGATGATCATGACTAAATTTCCGTTGCTTGAACTCTAAGAAATCACCGAGTTAGTCAGATTATTGGAAATTTACAGTCATGAGCTCCTACAAAAACCATATTTCAAATATTTTTATTGTTGTTTGTATTCTAGACTAGGTTTGCACATTCCACAATACATTTTTTAGTATAAAACACCATAATGTTGAAATAAATAAATAAGGAAGCAAAACCATATTCGTAAAACTAGTAGAGAACCAGGAATTTGGATATGGGGTACAAACATTATCAATATATTATATGTAGTTGTCTAATATCAGATCTTAAAAAGTATGCTATAATTTCTTTGGTTGAGAGTATAATAACACAAAACATGTTTACAAATAATATTTTATATATATAAAAAAAAACAATTTTTTTAGAGGTACTGTAGTACCTCCAACGCCCCACCTAACTCCGCCACTGCATAAAACCACAATATCTTTGAAGCATTTTTTCCAAGTTCTTTAATTTGGGATACTTAGTTGTTTTGATAAAAGGTTATAAGCAGGGTGGTAACCGAGCCAAATTCGGGTCCAAAATGACTTGTTTTGGACAATGTTGGTTATTTTACCAATTAAGAATATTATGAATTATTACTTATTTTCATTAAAGTTAATTTAAATTGTGTTCATTATTATCAATATATATCCCTAAAATGTTTTTCTTATGTTAGTAATTCTATAACTTTCATATATGTACTTAGGTTAGGTTTAAACACGTTTTTCTCACAAGTCAAAATGTAATCAATTTAAAATGTTTTAAGTTTTTACCCAAATCAATTAATTGACTATATTAGAACGTTTAAATGCGTTTTTCTCACAAGTCAAAATGTAATCAATTTAAAATGTTTTAAGTTTTTACCCAAATCAACTAATTGACTATAAATTCGCCGATATGTTTAATATGTTTATAAATAGATAAGAGAAAATTAGAAATACGATTAATACCAAACTTAAATTTAAAAATAATATATTGAATAAAAGGAAATTTTATGAATGTGTAATTACGTCAACAAAAGTCGAAGTCCAAGTCCAACTCCAACTCTAATGTAATCCCTACGTCGTCTTCTTCCTCAAAAAATCTGTGTTTTATAAATAAGCCTACACTGCCCTCCCAATAAACCACAGTTTGACCTCATTCGTACAATCATACCTAATGGCAATGGAGCACATGCAGTCATCCTTCATCTCAAAGCTGCCAATAGTCATGGCGACCATCGGAGAAAAGAAAGAACAGCTTGCTGCAAAGAAGCAAGAGCTCTTGGAAATAAAGCGTATAGGAAGAGGTACGGAGCAGTTGACGTATGAACTTGGAATCCAATGGGGGACTCTGGAAGTGGAGATTGATCTGCTTGAGCACACGGCTAATGTGATGAAAAAGGATTTGATTCAGAGGGGATTGCTTGTCAATGGGAAACTTTAGGTGGATGATGATTTTTTTTCTTATTCTATTTGGTTTTAGTTTCTTTTGTCTTGAACTAGTCGATGGTGTTTATTACGTGGTTTAAAACTTTTAAACTGCCAAAACTTCGTAATGGAAACCCATGCACCTTTGTTTCGAATCGATTGATCAATCTTAATTATATAATTCTTTTTTCTTTTACTATTTTGAATAAAGCTAAGGATATGCATTGTGTAGGTTTCAGAACTTGCAAGTTTGAATGAAACATGTTAGGTTTATATGTCAACTGATTTCATAAATTTTATCCCACTGCATCAATAGTTCAATTGTAAAAGAAAAAGTTTCGAGAAGTGGGTAATTGTGGAAAATATTGTTCATATTTTTTTCTTAAATATAAATTTTTTTTGCCTAATAGTATCGAATATATTTGTTTATTTAACTTTTATGTAAAATTTAAATTTAACATGTTTACCTTCTAGCTCTAGTTTACGTAAAGCATAATTAAAATTGATTTTTAATGACATGAAATTGATAGATATAAACCAAAACAAAATTAGATATAATACTAATTTTAATGAAATAAGTGTTTAGTATTGAAGGACATTTGGTATAACCCGTATTAGGTGTGTTGGAAAATGTCTTTCTCAAAATGGAAATGGTTGATGGTTTAAGTATTGTTATGGACAAAAATAATATATTTAAAAATATGGTTAAATCTCCTATCCTATTATAAGAATATCAATTTGCCATGTGTCAATTGTTCAGCCTACCTCTCAATGTTTTCCCCGCTCATTTCACAATACGCTTATTTATTGAAATACCCTTCTATTGCTTTGAAATGGGAATTGCCTTATCTCAGTTGTTTATATTTGATCCTTAAATCCTTAAATCTCGCCAAAGTTATAAGCATAGCTCATTTCAAGTGCATTCAGTTTAAGGAACTTGATTGTATTTCCAAATGAATTAGGGTTACTTTTTCCGATGTGCTTCAATATCAATCAATCAACAAAGTTTGAATCGTAGTAGGATACAAGTAATGGTCATATTTATCGAGGATACAATGAAACATTCTTGGGGAATAAAAATGTATATGAAGGTATATATGGATGGAAACTTATTTTTATAAGATTTTTCACTTTGACTCCTGCTTTTTTAGAGTTCGAAAAAACACCTCCAATTCTTCTTTTTCATTAATGAAGGTACTTTTCTAAATCCAGAGAATACCCTATCTACTTATCTTATTTTAGTTTCAGTAACTTTTATCAAAATTTATTTGCATTTATTTTTTTCATTGCGACAATTTATGCCTTGTGATAATTTCTACCTGACATCGGGTCGTGCCCGGTAAGCAAACCATCACATAACCAATAGAGTTGCAAACTTTACTCACATACATGCCTTAATGGGACTCAACACTTAGAAAAGGAACTTAATAAGGGTCTTCATTCTTTCATGGACCAACAACTCCGATGAACTTTCCATTTTTATTAGTAAGGGACCTTATTGGAGCTTAGATCTAACATCCACTACTTTTGGGGTAGATCAAAAGCTCACCTTCACTTCAAGGGACTCAACATATCTAAGAAACACCACAAAGTAGATCCAAAAAAATGATCATCAAGGTATAAGCTTTTTACCTTAGAAAGCTTGCAAACAGGAAGATACCCCCAGATCTATAGGCTCAAGCCACTCCTCCAAGTGTTCATCTTCCTCTTCTTCACCACAAATCACCTTCCAAGCTCAAAATCACCAAAATGCACTTAGGGTTTGAATCTAAGGTTAAAAAGGGATGGATGCTAAATGTATTAGGGTTTGGTGAAGAGATAATGAGCTTAAATAGGATCCAACACCCTCATTTAGGGTTTGTATGAATCTGGAGTACGCCCTGCGTACTCCCATTACGCATAGCATACTCCCCATAAGTGTCCTGATCCAACAATTTATTACTCCTAGTGTACACGAATGTATGCCCTGCATACTGACCTTTGCACTAGTAAGCCCCCATATTCCCTATGTACGCCCCATATACCAGGGTTAGCCTTAAACCTTACAATCTTCCGAAGGCCATAACTTTTTCGTTATAAGTCTGTTTCCGACAATCCTTATATCCACGAAGAGGTAACAAGATACTCTACACTTCTATCAACTCATACTTTCCTTATAACTTCTCGAACAAAAATCTAATTTCCATAAAAGCCCTAATTGACACTTTATCAAAATACCCCTTGGCTCAATAACACAAACTGAACTCCAGGATCATACAAATTACATCACCCACACCTAAATGGGTCTAAATTTCATTCCCTCAATGCCCCCAACCCTGATGAAACCCGATCTACGGGTCACCTCCCCATATTAGGAAACGATTCTAAACAAGACGTTACAACTCTCCCCCATATAAATTAGATTTCATCCTCAAAATCGTTCATTACCACCCTCCTGGAAACCAACACTCTAAACAAAACCTTCTAGTTCTAAACAAAACATTGATCCCATAACTATTGATCCAACACGATACTGCTAAAATTCCAGAATCCCATCACTTGTCTAACCTCCAAACAGATGAAACAAATCCGAAACATAATCATAGGATTCTTGACCAAAAGCCAACTCGATACATAACTCATAACCTGAGATCCAAGGATTTACACTTGCATTTCACTTGAAACCTTCTGATTTACTACATCCATTCACCAAACTAGGATATCAATATCCCCAAACTACCGCTGCGACTACTAGGCTCACACCTAGTCCAACAACCAGGTTCTTAAGAATCCAACCTATAAGGCTATCCTCGCCTATGCAACACACCATGCCACTCCATGGCCATATAATCATCCTACTAAAGCCATAATCCAATTCCCTAACCCAATCGGTCTCTACTAGGTCTCACCTGTATTGCTATAAACACACGAGCCTTACCCACAGGTCCCACCCAGTCTATACCAATGAACGGTCCATGTCCACAGGTCTTACCCCATCGAGAGCTACATAGTTCCAACCTTGCCTTAAACCCCAATGGACCTCTTCCCATATGTAATACCTCGTTTATTTATTTAATAAATAAATAAAGTAATAAATACATAATAGCCCTAAAAGCATAATAGTGTAGCAAGAAGTTAGTTACGGGGGTTAAAAAGTCATAATTGAAAGTTTAAGGGTACCATTTTCTGATTAATTTATAAAGGATTTTGAAGTCAGGGGCTGAAAGGTAAGTATTGTATTAAGGTGAAAAGATTTTATGGAGTAAGGGGCTAAAAGTAAATTCTAAACTTAAAATGTAAAAGATTTCAGAATTGGGGTTTAAAGTGTAAATTACAGAGTGATATTGAAAGAAAATTGGATGGGAGGGACCTATCCTGATAATATAGCAATATGTTTGTTTGTGTCGGATATATATATATATATATATATATATATATATATATATATATATATATATATATATATATATATATGCATGCGCTATAAAACCCTAACCCTATTTTGACTATTCTAGCCGTCATCCTCCTCTTCTTCACTTTCAGCTGCCACCCTACCCTGTGGCTCCGATCATACGACTCCAGCAAGCATGTTGTTTCCCCAAATGGCACCATCTTTCCTCCGCCACCTTCTCTTCCACTTCTGGCATCGTTCTGCGGTCGTTGAAGTCGTTAGCCGCCATGTCGTTCTCAATCAGCGAAGACGACGAGGACCACCAGCATCCACCTCTCCGTTCGACTATGACCATTCTCCGGAGCTCTCTCAAATGCCACTTCTAGGCCACTTTTTGCTCCCCCATCGTTGCTATAAGACGACGTGTGTAACCAAGGAAACCCACCGAAAACGGTCAAAGGCAGCTGTATCAGCCGAAGGTCGGAGATGTTTTCGTTGCCTTCCTGTTATGCACGACGTCTCTTTGTCGGTGTTGCATCTCAGCCCCGTTGGCATCTAGATTTCGATCAAAGTCGTGTAGGGGTGTGTTGATGCTTGACTGAGAACCAAAAAGGAATCACCGCCACCACCATATGGTGGTGGCTGTCGTCCTAAAATTGTTGTTGGCACCACCGTGAGCCACCAGGTGGGTGGCTGGGGTACATCTCGCAATCAGAAGCATGTATGGGTGTGTTGTGTATGGTTGTGTTTGATCGGAAAATTGAGGAAGGCCAACACCACCACCGTGAGGTGGTTGCTGCCACCACTTACCACCATTGGCCACCATTAGGTAGTTGTGTGTGTGCTTACTTTGCTTAGTGTAGTGTGTGTGCGTTTAGTTTTGGTATTTTTCTTTGTAAATTGTAAAATGGAATAATGAAAGGAAATTCCACCACCTTAGGGTGGTGGCTGCCGCCACCGGCCACCATGTCAGGTGGCGGTGTGCTTTGCCTCGTGGTGTTGATTCGTTTGGGGTGCTTGAAACCCTAATGGGTCCAATGAAGCTTAATGGACTCTAATGGACCCAATATAACCCTAATGGGCTTAATAATATTTTAGTGGGCTTAATAGGCCCATTAAAGCCCTAATTGATCTAAAAGCCCAACAAATTAATAAATAGGCTAGTATTTGTGTTGGAAACCCTAATTAGGGTTTGGAAAACCCTAATGCCATTGAAACCCTAATTTTGGGGAATTAATCGAGACACACATGAATTATTAATAACTTGGAATATTAAATAATAATCATTGGCGGAAATTAATCTAAGCAATATTGGACTTAATGGATTAAGTCCTTAATGGGTTAAGTAGGAAACTTAACCCTAATCATCATTTTATGTGAAACCCTACTTTCACTTGGGTTTATTGTTGGGCCTTTCTATTGGGCCTTGATGATTGGGTTATTAAATGGGCTATCCAAGATCAAGAAAATGGTCTAGAGAAAATTAATAGGCCTAGGGTAAGGTCTATGTAAGGGGCTTCGGCCTAATTTGGAAAATTAGGCCATAGATGGGCTATAGTTTGGGCCTTAATGATTATATGATGTTGGGCCTTAGATTGAGACCATGTATAGGCCTAAGCCCAATTTGGAAAATTAGGCCATGTGTTGGGCTTTGATTCCTAATTGACTTTGGGCCTATGGATTGGGACTTGGGCTTGAATAATCCAAGCTAGGGGTAATGTAGTAATTACCCAAAGAATGTATTTATGGTTATTAATTGGGTGTTATTTTGTTGTTAACAGTTCAGGAGTCTGTCAGCCAGCAGCTGGGGTCAAGTCTGTGGGACTTCAGCAAGTGTGGGATTGTGTCTTCGGTACTTCAATAGTGTAAGGTGAGTTACCTTCCAGTAGTGGTGGGTCTACGGCCACAATGCCGGCCCACCAGTAGGAGTTGTATGTTAGATGATTGTCTTTGTGATATCATCTAGGTTTGCTACTACCTTATATGTTATATACTGGCATGGCATGTTATATGTGATAGTAGTAGAGTTCGGTTGTTAAGACCAAAGGGTAGGTCAGACACCCCAGATATGTCTGACAGTATGTAATGATATGTTTATATGCTGGCATGATATGTTATATGTGATAGTGGTAGTAGGAGGGGAATAGGCCCCAAGTTTGGGTGTTAGGACCGAAGGGTAGTTCGGACACCCCAGATATGTCTGATAGTATGTTTATGTTATGATATATGTGATAGTAGCAGTAGAGGTGGTATAGTCCCCGAGGGTCGGTTGTTAGGACCGATGGGTAAGTCAGCACCCCAGAATGGCTTGACACAGGTACGTCGGCACCCCAGAATGGTCGTACCGGGTAGGTCGGGACCCCAGAATTACCCGACAGTATGCATGCTTTGTGATTGTATGGTATGTGTTATGATGGGAGAACTCACTAAGCTTCGTGCTTATGGTTTTCAGTTTTGGTTTCAGGTACTTCGTGTTTCAAGGAAAGGAGTCGGCTTGATCGCAGTGCGTCACACTGTGTTTTCCGCACATGATATCCTTGGGATTACACTCTAATATGGTTTTATGATAATATGTTTTGATTACTGACACTTTGGTTTGACACGAGATATTATTGTGAATGTTTTTACACTGATGGTTTTATGTAATAACTTATTTAAAAATGAAATTTTTAGCCTTGAAAATTGGGATGTTACACCATAACATAGATATGATCTTCGACCCTACTGTACGCCTTGACCAAGGCATGAGCTAAATCCTCCTTTATACTCATGACCACCCCAATGATGGTCTACCTCAATCTGATGAATGCTATGATCCTATCACAGACTTACAACACTTCCATACTATCTACAAATCCAGTGAATGTTACGACCACCCCGCGGTCTTATGACATGTCTATCCTACAATGGTCACCATCCATGGTCTTACCACTCCTCTACCATATCAACCACAATCATCCTACGTCAAACCCGCATCTGATTGTATCCCAATCCGGTGTTTGATTCATGCTTTGAACCTCAAATCCTTCATCAAACAAGAATAGGCATCGAGGCTCTAACACAACCCTCAACCTGGATCCATCCACATGCTTGATATCCATCACAACGAAGACGACAACCAGCTGTTTGAAGGTTCTTGAATTCCCAACCTACACAACTTCAATCCAGACGACCACTTGAGTCGTCTTCCCTCCCGACTGGGATGTGAACCCTAGTTTCACACCTGATTTAGCTTCCAGAAATCTGAATGATCCCCCCCACTGGGATTCATCGAAGCTCTCCCAACCCATAAAATTTGATGGATTCCCAACCTATCTTATTTCCTTATATCTCGAACCGACAACGACCTGAGCTTACCAAGAACTAGCATTCCATTACTAGCCAATCCCGTTGATCGCACAAATTTTGAAATCCCGATGAATACTCCCTGAAATCCCAGCAAGCCTGATAATCCCAATCGATTCTCATGATACAACACCAATCCTTAAGTCCTTTATGTTAGTGACAAAGACCATAACCCTTGCTCTGAACTGGTGAATCTTCACTCTAACTTCCCATCCTCAAAAGAATCTCTAAATTCTAACAATCTTCAACCCTTACGATAATAAAATTCCCTGACACCTCTAATGACCAAACAAACTCATGCAGCTGCCACCACCATCTTCTTGCTACCGCTCCTTCCATAGAAACAGTAGTGATTGAACCCAAAGGTTCTTCCATGCATGACTGTCAATTCTACCAGAACAAATGCAAACATGACTGAACTTTGACTTCATTAAAGAACTAACCAACTAATTCGACCATAGACCTTCCAAACAACACCCCTGAATTGGACCATTAAAGAACTAGAACAACAACCATACATACTGAATTCCTCTTAGCAAGATATAACCCACTAATGACTCTTGGCATGAAAAATGGCATGTAACAATTCTTGATGATACAACCCAGGAAATAATAGAGGACTAAACCAAAGATAATGCTTACACAACCCAATACAAGGTTTGAAAGTAATAAAAATACTAATAATAATCAAGAAGTGAGCAAATATTACATACCTGCAATAGCACCTGATGAAACCGTGGCCTCCCATTCCTGAAACTGTAATGCTCGTCTCCTCACTACTATAGCTCCTGCCCTACCCTCATAACCATCAGTTTTCCTCACCCGATTGCAGTGAAAACACGTCGGATCTGACCCACGGGGGCAATCCCGACTAAAATGACCCATCTGAACACAACTGAAACATCCTCGACCTGTCTCCCAATATCCTTCCTCATGGGTCCTCCCACACTTTGCAAAACGGCCACGACCATGATGGCCTCTCGAATGTAAATACTGAGTCCTGGGCCTCTTCATGTGGCCCATTGAAATCTGAGTATTCTCTGGCTTCCTATTCCCGAGGTGGTCCAAGTCAATCTCACACTCTCGGGCACTAGCAATCATATCATTCAGGGTCTCACACATTGACGGATTCATGAATTATGTGATGTCATCCCTCAGCATGTCATGATACCTTACCTTCTTCATCTCCTTCTCTACTGCATATTGCAGAATCAACAAATCCCTCTCCCTGAACTTTACGGTGATCTCTTCCACAGTCTCAGTCGTCTGGCGAAGATCCTGAAGGTCACTCGCCAACTGCTGCACATCAATAGCTAGTGCAAACTCGACCCTAAACCGGATCACAAACTCATCCCAAGTCATCGTCTCTAGGGATTTGCCTCCCAAAGTTAAGTCTACATCCTCCCACCAATCTTGGGCTCTGTCCTTCAGAAGATAGGAGGCAAATCTTACCTTCGACCCCTCGGAGCAGAAACTCGTGTTAGTTGGCCATATCCTCTAACCATCTCCTATTGTCAATTTGATCCTTCTCCCCAACGAATTCGGGAGCTCCACAAGCACGAAAATCATGGAAGGAAAGAGTGCGAGCTGGAAAAAAGCTATTACCTCAATACAGAATGCACACATACGCTCATCCAAAATCTCTAAAATTCCCTCCCTGACTGAACCAAAGACCGTAGGAGTCTTCTCCAAAATACCGCGGGTAATCTTTCACGAGATGAAATCTTGCATCTGCTCATCGATCGGCTCAGTACCCACACATGAGCCTGAACCTAAACCTCTTCCTAGTGTGCTCATTTCCACACCAAGACAAAAAACAATCATACCAATAATCAGAACATACCCAAGAATCCACATCTCACAGGCTTCCTAGATTCTCCAAGACTCTCCTTGATTTGAGGATGGGTCCTATGCTTTCAGTAGTACGGGCCTAATACTACCTTTTGCACCTATCCATACTTTACTCAAGAATCATCCCAAATCCTCTAAGTCACCTTCTTAAACCGATACTCCAAATGCTCGCTAAGCAGCGCAACTAAACCCATTGAATCACTTCTTAGGCTTTCCTAGGTTTCCGACCTCACCCTGCCAACAGTTGCTGAAGAACTCCCCATAATGTCAGTTACCACCTCACGAATACAATCAAATGCAAGAAAGCTTAGATAATCCTTCGAGTAAAAGTCTCATCCTTAGAATGGTTACTCTCAAACAAGA